ATCGTTTTTATAAATAACATTTTAATTTAAAAAAAATTACTAATGTCAATAATCTTTTCTTTTTATTTAATTCAAATAAGGCTGAAGTATAAATATAATTTATTCGCATTATACCGTCACGCATGTGCCCATCACAATATGCGACAGTTATGGATCGCATATGATGACGCATCTGAGTGGTCCAGTGAACGCGCATAGTGCGGATAAATCGGCACGCGTGCAGATGATATTAGTAGCACACAACGCGCATTTTGTTATCTGGGTATAACGCATGTGTAGTAGTGTTATATCAGTATCAAGCATGCGCAGTAGTGTTCTGTCAATGTCAGACATGCGCAGTAGTGTTCTGTCAATGTCAGACATGTGCAGTAGTGTTCTACCTATGTCAGGCATGCGCAGTAGTGTTCTATCACTATAACGCATGCGCAGTAGTGTTCTATCACTATAACGCATACGCAGTAGTGTTCTACTACTATAACGCATGCGCAGTAGTGTTCTATCACTATAAAGCATGCGATGTCAATGTTTTACAAAAATTTAAATAACTTCTAAAAACATGAATACTTTTAATGATCTTAAGTTTACTTTAAAGGTTATTTTCTACAGAATGGAAAGTACTTGTAGACATTACCGTGTAATTTTTTCTTAGAAATTGCAGGTCGGCAAAGTTATACACAAAAATTTCAATTTCAAATAATTTGTTTGTACAAAAAACTATCCTTCAAAAAATATGAAACATGATATGATGTAAATTTTTCAAGAAAATTTAGTAAAAAAATATGTTTGAATTTTAAAAATTATTTTTCTGTTAACCCGTTGCCTGTTAACGACCGTTGGGTAGTAACCCGAGTCGAAATTTAGACCCTACTTAGCCTCTGAAAATGTAGGGCTTATTCAGGTTTAGCAGTCGTAAAGTAGGGTCTGATTTCAATACAATTTTTAAAAACTAGACCCTCCTTTGACTCCCAAAATAGGCTGAAATTTGCCAATCTTCCATTTGGAGAAGCAAAGGAGGGTCTACTTCTAAGAAACCTATACCGTACTTTTAAACCTCGTAGACCCTACTTTCATTCTCCTAGACCCTACAATTAGAAAAAGAAAAATTTGAAGATTTGCTCAGATTCAATTGAAGCACTAGGGATGAGTAAAAGTGGAATTTTATGTGTTTTATAGCGTCTATATACACTTCGTGTATATAGACGCTATAAAACACATCAGTATTTATGAATTTGGAGTACTTTTTGCATTTGCAGTGTTTCAAGTAATGCATTAAAAAATAATTCTAAATTTTCTTTTAGAATGTAGGGTCTAGGAGTATGAAAGTAGGGTCTACGAGGTTTAAAAGTACGGTACAGGTTTCTTAAAATTAGACCCTCCTTTGCTTCTCCAAATGGAAGATTGGAAAATTTCCGCCTGTTTTGGGAGTCAAAGGAGGGTCTAATTGTATTAGAATTAGACCCTACTTTACTACTCCTAACACTCAACAGCCCCTGAAAATTCAGAGTGAAAGTAGGGCTTAAATTTCGACTCGGGAAACTTCTTAGCGCAAAATAAATGAAATTTCTTATGTAAATTATAAAATAAATTGTTATATATCATTATTAACACACTATTGATTGCAATGATCCTAAATTAAGAGCGTTCGATGGTCTCTGAAATTTGTAGGTTATGTGCGACATACACTTTTCGCCCTACAAAAACGGTACTGCCTGGTTTAAATGACGTGAAATTGGTAAACAATCATTTTTGAACGAGTTTTTCTCTGCACACAAGCACTTTTAGCAAAATCTGAATCCGAACCAATGACACAAATCTTCTTAATTACCTAAATCCAAAATATTTTCTTAATCCATGCAGAAACGCGGTTGCAAAATGGTAAATGCAAAAGCAACAAAAGTAATGTAATGACAGGCGGCAAGACGTTTGTTACAACCATTTGCCATTAGAGGGCAGAAGCATGCAGGGAGCGTAAAGGCTCAGCTGTCAAAATGATTCGCATTACATTACTCCGGCCTTTCCCATTTTGTAATCGCGTTTCTTCAAGGATTAAAAAAATATCAAGGATTTAGGTAATTAAGAAGATTTGTGTCAATGGTTCGGATTCAGATTTTGCAAAAAGAGCTTGTGTGCAGAGAAAAACTCGTTCGAAAATGATTGTTTACCAATTTTACGTCATTTAAACCAAACAGTGCCGTATTTGTTAGGTGATAACTATTTGTCCAACATAATCTAGAAATTTCAGAGACCATCGAACACCCTTAAGTAATAAATAAATGATTATTTATTATTTTTAAATAATATAACAATTTAAAAACAAGTAAAGTTCATGAAAATTTATTTTTAATTTAAGTCACATTTAGTGTATAAGGGTTTTTGGAGTCGGTGAATTTAATTAATTTTAAAAAATTCAAAATGGCGGACATCATTTTTGAAATTCATTCATTTTAGTACATATTATAAAAATCATTGAATTAAGGAAAATTTTTTAAAATAATTGAAATTTTTAACCAGAATTTTTAAAAACATTTTAAATAATTGAATCGATTCGAAGAATTTTATCAAACTTTTTTAAAATAATTGAATTTTTGCAACGAATTTTATTAAAATTTTCAAAAAGAATTGAATTCTGATGAAGAAATTTTATTAATTTTTTTGTTAACCCTCCGCCCGACACCTATTCTGACGACTACAAAATGCTGTATTTCGAAGATTCATAAAATATTCTGAAGATAGACTTTTTCGACTAGTTTTTTTGTAAATCGTTAGCTATACGTATGAAGTTTATGAAACAAACTGAGAGCACAAGTTTCTAGTTAGTGTATAAATATAATTAAATGAAGTTGAAAAGCCTAGGAGTCTGGCTGGACCCAGGTGTCGGACGGAGGGTTAAATAATTGAATTATTGCGAAAAAATGTATAAAACATTTGCAAATGTTTCAATTTTTGCAAAGAATTTTATAAACAATTTAATAATAATTGAGTTTCTTCGAAGAATTTTATTCTTTATGAAAACAAGTGAATTATTGCGAAAAAATTGCAAATCATTAAATTCTTGCAAAGAATTTTATCAAAAAATTTGATACTAATTGAATTTCTTCGAAGAATTTTAATGTTTATGAAAATAATTGAATTTAGGAAGAATTTTATTAAAATTTTACATATTCTTTTCAAAATCAATAATTTCTTTGAGTTTCTTCTTCTCTTAAAATAATTGACTTTCTTTAATCATTTTAATTACCAGTTTTCAAAGTAATTAAATTCTATATAAATAATTTCTTTCTAGTTAAGAAAGAAGTTAGTTTCTAGTTATTCTATATAAATAATTTCTTTCTTTTTATAAAAATCCTCTTTCTTAATAATTGAAATTAATAATTTAATTATGTCTATCAAGACATAACGCAACTTTTGTTAATGTATAATTTGTTGATAGGCTAAACCTGAAAAAAGTTATAAACAATTTTCTAACCACGAAAATAGTGGGGCGAAGCGACGATAGCGGGGCGAAGCGACGCACTCAAAATTACCTGCATTTTAAACGAATTATCTTATCTAAATGTAAATAAACAAAGAAGATTATTGTAAATTTATTGTTTATTTAAATATTTGTTAATTAAATAAAAGTTTAATAATTTTTAAATTATAATTTTCAAATCAAATTAAATAATAAAAATATAAAATATTTTTTAAACATGAGAAAAATGTTTTTTAGCTTTATTCAGAGTCTGTCGTTAATTCTTCATATTTTTTTTTAAAAACCGCCATTCGTCGGCTCTTGATGCGTCTTGGTACCGCTGTCACTTAACCCCCTCAAGAATGCGTCGCTTCGCCCCATGGTACATTTTTTATTTCAAAATATTATATCTTCATTTCTAAACGTAAAATCCAAAAATTGTTTATAGTTCTTAAAAGTACTGGTATTAAACTTTCCAAAGCTAATTCTTAATACCTCTATATATGTTAAAATATTATTAACAATACAGAATTTATAATTTAAATTTGACTCTCATATACTACATTTTTCTGTATTAGAATTTAATTTCTGACTGTAGAGAGAGCACATAAATTTTTAATAAATCTTAACTCAAATTTCATAAGTTGTTACGAAATACAGAATGTCTATTTTTCATAAAAATAGAATTTTTGTAGAAAAATGTTCCTTTTTTATAAAATACAACTTTTTCATGCATAACCTATCAATTTATACTTTATCAGATAATTTTAATTGATTAAAAACGATTTTTTACAAAAATTTGAATCTACTTATATTGACAATTTTTCTAACGTTAGGGAGTAACTGCTGGGGTGTCCAGACACCCCAGACGTATTTTAACGGGAGATAGAGCTCTTCCTAGAGCAAAACTTTTGGCGGCACATACAGGTGTCAAAAAATAGAGGTTCAAACTAAATTATCAACGGGTAAAAAATTAAAAGCGTAAAAAAATATTGGTTAAGCCATGGGAATACTTTGAATTTTGCTTGGGGTGTCCAGACACCCCAGTTACTCCTTCTAGGGTTAAAAATCATTAAAACTAGAAAAATTTCGGAAAATAATTGAACTTTGGAGAAGAATTTTGTTATTTATAAAGATAATTGGGATTTTTACGAGAATATTTTTCAAGATTTGAACACAGTTAAATTTAATAAGAATTTTATTTTTTAAAAGAATTTTTGCAATTATTTTTAAATTCTACAAAATTGAATTTTTTAAATATTTTCAACAAAAATTTAAATTAGAAAATTTTCAAATTTGATTATTTTTAAAATTGCTAATTTTATTTAAAAAAGGTAATAAGAAGTTAGCCGCGCGCGATTTGATGTAAATTTCAATTTAATTATTACTTTCTAGAATTTTTAACTAAAATTCTTCTTTACATCAATTATTATTTATAATAATTTTTTTAAAAATTCTGAGAAATTTCATAAGTTAAAAATTGATTCCAAGAGCCAAGCCAAAAGTAATTTAAGAATGAAAGAGGGATGAAGAATTAATTGTTTCGTACCTATAGACAATATAAAGTTGGTCTTTTTTGCCCTAGGCCTTCTTTTTCCCCACTGTCAACAGTAACCGCGAGAATTGCAGTTTGCTTACTACTGTTACTAACTTGATGTCTCAAGTAAAAACTTTTCTTAGTGACGGTGAATCCCGATCATCGATCAGTAGCCTCTGCCCAACTCATTCCTCGCTCAACGTGCACGACATGCAATTCAGCTGGTACAATCCCCGTCGAAAGCTTCCTCAGGAATGTAAATAGTCTCACTATCTCCTATTATTTTTACCAGACGTGACAAGATCAAAACTTCCCATGTTCAATTTCCCCGTCTTCTTTGCAGTCGTAATAGTCATATTAAACGTGTCCGTAAAATACTGGAAAAGTAGATTTTGCAAATCAACCGGCATAGGCATACCGAGTATTCGATTCAAGAGCATTCTTGAACATCCTTGAAAAAATCTCCTTCAATTATCTTGCGGTGGTGGAACCAACGATTGTTTATACCTTTAAAAAAATCAAGTATTTATTTATTTTACAAGTATTTTTATATTATTATGTTATAGCAATTTAAATTTGTCTCAAAAATACTTTCACTATGCATTTCACCATAAAAATGGATCTACAGGTCTACAGTAGCATTGTAACAGTTATGAGACATTCAAAATACACCTATAATCCTTTTTATAAGTTAGTTCACATTTGATAATAATTTTTAGAGTAAATTTTCCTCATTAATAATTGAAAATAATTTTAAAAATCCAAAAGCCACAACAAAAAGTATTAATTATAAATTCTTACACATCACTCGTCGTCAAACTTTAAAACCGGCACCGGCACCGTTGGCACAAGTAAACATTGAACCTAACCTAATTTTATCAAACACTTACACCAACCTAACAAATACATAAGTAAATCAACTCACACGACGCACTTCTGCCAACCACAAGTTACTAAACTTTTTTTTAAGATTATATTAAATATAATAATAATTTTATTCATTATTTTTTTTACAACTTATAATAATAAAAATTTATTACTATTATTATTATTATTATTATTATTGTGACATAAAGTAATTTACAAACATATTTTATATTGTCAAAAAGAGAAATGTACAAAAAAAATTTAGTAAAAATAAGCGCCACTTGATAGCAGCAGCTGATAGATGTTTTTCTTAAATAAATATTTAACCCCAACTTACAATAATAAAATTAATTATAGGAAATGAATTATTATTTCCATAAAATTAATTGTTACTAAATGATTAATTTTTTTTTATGTAAAGTAGAAAAAAATATCATCTCACTCTAAAAATTGAATAATATTATTTTTTATACTTTAAAAAGCATTAAAAATACGCAGAAAAGAAAGTAACAAAAAAAACTGCGAGAGGGCAGCAGCTGTCAAAAACACTTTGGAAAAATGAAAACTTTTGGAAATTAATAAATTAAATAAATTAAACTGTTGTCTGTAAATAATAAAAGCTGTGAGCAATAGAAAATTCGTAAAAATTACTAACGGAATTCTAAAAGCAATATTAAAAAAATTTATTGATAATTCACACAAATATTATTTATAGATCAACCAAGGCTCAAATGTTTCACTTTCTGCTGCGAAATCGAAAAGGGAATAACGTTCTTTCGACCAAGGAATAAAGAAAAATTAATTAATAATAACATAATTAATTAATTAAATTATTTTTTTTTCTTTTTAAATGACTTTAAGCAAGGCCAACTGTCAGAACACACACATTTATATACCAACTAGATTTGCGTTTCTACAGAAAGACTTTTGAGGTTAGGAGTACTCGCATTTGCCTGGACCACCCGTCTAATGGGTTTTCTCGCCAGTGGAGAGGGAAACTGTAGAAAACCTCTCCGAGTACAACCGGTTTATCGACAGACGAATTCTAATGGTGTGTACCGGACAATAATCGACGGTGCACATCATTATACTTCGACGTCAAACCTCCCGCTCAGATTATCTCACGTGCCGGAAAAATCCCAGGCTAATGGGCGCGAACCAAGTACCCTTGGGTCCGCCCACCGAGCCAGGCATCTATCCGACCGAGCTAATCTGTCGGTTAAATTATTTTAATTAACTAAAAATTAAATCAAATATTTTCTAAAAGAATAATAAAAAAAAATTTTTATCGACCGAGATTTGAACACAGATTTCCAAATTACAAGTCTGAAGCGTTACCACTGAACCATTTCAGAAGATATAGGCCATTTTTGTTATTTATTATTTAAGGGAAATTCGTTTTGACAGACTAAAAAAAATTGATCCTGAAATCAATCCTCTGATTGATTTCAGGATCAATTTTTTTCATCTATTAGAAGACTGAAATTAAATTAATATTAAAATTCAATAATTTCATTGTTGAATGCTTTTTTAAACATAAAAATGTTTTAAAGAGAAAAACAATTTGTAATGATAAGCAGAGCCACGAGAGGGCAGCTGCTGACGGACCATTAGAAATAAAATTGACAAAATATTAAAAATTATCAAATTTATTTAATATTAAATTTGTAATTGAACTTCATAAAATGTAATAAAAAAAATTAATTGCATAAATACAATAAAATTAACCTTAATATACTTATATACTTACCTTCTAAAGTTATTTAAATTGTATAAAATTATTTTTCTTCTTCATAAATTTTCAATTTCACTCAAACATTTACAATTAAAAATTAAAAAATTACTTACCTTTTGAAGGTATAAAAAAACAGAATTTCTACAAACATTTTAATTTATTTACCTTTCAATATTATTAATTAATTAACTAACTAATTAATTAATTATAAAAAAAACTCTAAATTTAATTCCCAAATAATATTTTCAAAATATTATTAATTTCTATTGCGCAAGTCAGAGCCAGCGTCAAGTTTCTCACTATTTTTTTTTTACAACAAAGAGTAGGGGAGACCGGGGTTACTTGGCGCACTTTTTACTCTTTGTTGTTTAACTAAAACATTTTTGCTTTTTTTAAATTCCTATTGCACGGAAAACTTACTGTAACATCTCAGCTTCAATTTAAAACAAAAAAAAAATTGTAATCTATTTGATAGTTTTTTTTATACCACTTTATTCAAAGCTATGTAAAGTGCGCCAAGCAACCCCGGGCCGGGGTTGCCTGGCGCATGATTGAAATTAATTAAATTATACGATTTAAAGTTGAAACATTATATGATATAGTAAAATAAGTTTTTTACTGTCATTTTACAATAAAAAAATTTAAAAAAGGATCATATTTAATTACAATTAGGAACATTTTTTGTGTAATCGTAAAATTATAGAAAACTTTTATAAAATATATGCTGTAAATTTTTAAAAAACGCACCCTTCACTAAAATTTTTAAACAAAATAATTATATTTATAATAATTTATAAAATTGTAACATTTGAGATTTTTTATGGTATATAACACTGTGGATGTAGTAGATAAGAACCGCGCCAAGTAACCCCGGAGGTACTTTTTATATATTTATAAAGTTTTTATTAATAACATTTATAAAAATCAAAGTATCTTTATTGTCCCTAGAAAACAAATAGTTAGAGCTCAAAACTAAATATTTGAGCTTTATTGTAAATCATTTCCTAAAAAGATATAACAAAAAAATGAGGAGGTCAAAAATTTACTTTTGAGTACCAAAATCAATTATTTTAATCTATACGCCACAATAATTAATGAATAAAAATGAAACTTTGTACAAACTTAGATTTCATTAAGTACTTGAACTTGAGTGGAGAGAAAAAATTATTCAACTCAAAATTTTTGAAAAATCTCTAGTGCGCCCGACCATGCTATTCGAGCTTTTTGCACATCTCTAATTAAAATCATAAGTTTTTAAAAATTTAGTAATAACTGAGAAACAAATTTAACAAGTAAATAAATACATTTTCCTGAAAAGTTAAGAAAATTACGCATATTTAACTTATTCAAGAGATTTCAAATCGTTCACTAAAAAGTATTGATTAATTTTCATTAATTTTTATGGTTACGTGAGAAATATTGTTGATTTAAATTTATTAAAATAACAAACTCAACTTTTGAAAACTGACTCGTCAAATTTAAAAATTGGTTTAAATTATAAGTATTTTATTTGAAATTGCTGCATCAAATAAAAAGATCAATAATATTTGTTATATATTTAATAATAAATACATACAATAATTTGCAAAGTCCACAATTTAACCATTTATAAATAAATGTTTTTGAATCATAAAGAGCATCTACTATAATTACTATTGTAGAATAAATCTCAAAATGCACTTTAACAGCATGTGATTGTTACAGAATTCAATGTTAATTTTTTCGACCATTTTTCTCTTAAAATATTAAATAAATTAAGCTATTTTTTTGTGAATAACTCTAAAATATCATAAAGAAGGGCAGTGATGTGAAAAAGTTTTAATATTTTTAAAATTATTTATTAAAAAATAACTTTAAAATTATCAGTTCTCAAAATTACTTTTAATCAATTTCTCGTCTTTTCCGATTTCAAAGTATTTTTTATAATTTATTTTAGAATTATTAAAACTTTTGCACATCACTGCTCTTCTTTATTATATTTTAGAGTTATTCACAAAAAACTAGCTTAATTTATTTAATATTTTAAGAGAAAAGTGGTCGAAAAAATTAACATTGATTTCTGTAACAGTCACATGCTGTTAATTCACCCCCTTTTCGACTTTTTTGTGGAAAAATGGGAGTAATCGAATTTTTTCATATTTTTCAATTACTTTTAATTAGCAGAAATATTTTTCTATAAGTTATGTATTATTTTCTACTAAATAATAATCTTCGTATTTAATTCTTTCATTAATTCTGTCAGTCCAAACTTTCTTTATTATATGCTCAATTTTCATAAGGAAATGATTTGCATAATTTATATTTCTTAATTACAATTGCTTGAATAAAATTTAAAGTTTTTTAAAAATAAAGGAAAAAATTGTTTATAAATTCTATTTGCCAATTACGAATTTCAATATTGAAATTGAAACTTTTGAAAAATAAAGAAAAAAATTTTACTTAAAAAAATGTTCTGTTATATTCATTTATGAATTTCTTTTAAATTATTCAAAAACATCAATAACTTCTTTTTTAAATAAACATGTTATTATTATTCTTTTTCCATATGAAAATCCATTGAAAATTGTTACTGTATGTAACTTCTTCAAAATTATTATTATTATTTTCTACAATTTTTAATTAATATTTATGACAATAATTAAATTCCTGTAAAAGTTTAATTATTTATGAAAGTAATTAAATGTTTGCGTAAAATTTCATAAAATTTTTGAGAATTATTTCATACAATTTTTTGAATTTAACTTAGAATTTTAATTTTTAATTGAGTTGCACAGATAAAAGGTTAGATTGACAGTTATGAAAATTTAATAAAGAAGCATGGAAATAATTTAGATAATACAAATTTCTTGAATGATATTTATTAAAAATGAGCTAATTTACTTGTATTATTATTTCTTCTCAGGTGCAAGACTAAAAAATCAAATTTTTGTCTTGATAATTATGTTTGACCTTTATTTTCATTCTATTAAATTTTGGAGATGGAGAACGAGCTACTTTGTAGTTTTATTCGTGTTTAAAAAATCTGTTTTTAAAAGCGAGTTTGTTGGTTAAGATGCAGAAATTTTATAACACAATCATGAAACACTCAATATTAAAGGTGAAATTTTTCACATCCAAGATTTGGATACAAATTCTATCAAATTTTATGAGTCGAAAATTCTTATAGTTTTCTATCCATGAGTTTTGATTGAATACCTATCAAATTCTTTCCAAAT